TAATCAGAGAAGAAAGTAGCTTTTGGCAGTGACAACGTTTATTTGAAGATATTGCTGATTGCATCTGAAACTGGACTGTCCCAAAAATGCAAAAGTGTGATAAAAGTGCACGTTTCCGTCAAATCGTTTTGATGTCTTAGGAGCACTTATTGCTTGCATCATAAGGAATAAGTGCACCGAAGACACCAATTTTATCACACTTTTTACTAAGTGAAAAAGCGCTTATTAGTCCAATTTGGTGTGAAATGCGCAATACATGAAGATTTTTAAAATAAACTAAACATTATTTTTGTTTTAAACATTGATATCACTTACTTCTTACATGGAATACGTTTGAAATCAACCTAGTTTTTGTTTGTGGCCAGAACATACTGAGATTATGTTTAAATTTACCTCAAATTTTGTGTTGATCATAATTTTCTGCGTGTTGTCAATGAAAGCCAAGTGTAGGGTTCACTTTATTCATTCAAGATTGGCGAATCAAAGCAAAGCCAAAACTGGTCATGCAACACCTAGTTTTCAGATCCGCAATTAATAATTTTTTGTTATTTTTGACATCATCCACATCCAGAGGGCCAGTCACTTCGAATGTATGGGAATGGTAGGAAACCATTTGGAAATGCATGAAAATTTTCAGTCTTTATTCATTATCGTCTTTATGGGCAGTTTTAGATCGAGTTTTAGATGCACAAAAATTGCACGAATACATTCCTATGGTGATAAGGTAAACACTCGTTTATTTGTTTCCTTCTGTGAAAGCATGTTTAATCACAAATCATGGATTTGCTGATATTCTTTATACTGCAAAAATGATTTTCCTACCACTGAAGGGGCGACATCTCTCGGAACTTCAGTATAGCTACTACTCAAATCATATAATTAATTACAAAAATGATGAAGTACTAAAAAAGGGTCATGCAATTTGACAGATACCAAAACGTCATTATCATTTTCACCCACTCGCCATCTGTGAGTTAATCGTCACTTTGATTCTTCAATGGACGCTGCTCAATTCATCGGTGCACTCTTCTGGGTTTTAGCCAAATGCCGTGAACCAACAGATATTTCTCGACCAACAATTAAAAAGAGCAAATTGGGTTGTTTATCTTTTTTCAATAAAAAAATAAACAATAAAATTATACCAATTTTTATACATCATCTCAACGGCGCTGGTGGTGTAGTGGTAAGCGTGATTACCTCTCACCCCAGCAGGCCTGGGTTCAATACCAGTCGGCGCCGCCAGGATGTTCTGAGGCATAACATCTCTGATCATGCCGGCGCCGGTGGTGTAGAGGTAAGCGTGACTGCTTTCTAACACCCCAATGGGTCTGGGTTCAATCCCAGTCGAGGTCGGTGGGGTTTTTCTGAGGCATAAAAATCTCTGGTCACGTCTTCCTTCGGAAGGGAAGTAAAGCCGTTGGTCCCGGCCCATGTGTGTTGAATGGGTGCGATATCCTACGCAGGTGTGGAAGCTGCCTTCCTGCACATTCGATTGCCGTCAATGGATGGCAATCGATGTCCGTCGGTGATTGGCACTAGATTGCGGAACAGAGACCGACGTTAAATAAAGGAAAAGGAAAGGAAAGGAAAGGAATCTCTGATCACGCCTTCCTTCGGATGGGAAGTAAAGCCGTTGGTCCCCGGTTCATGAGTTGATGGGTCGTTAGGTAGGGTCCAGGTGTGGGAGCTGCCTTCCTGGCACGTCGGTAGCATTGGTGCTCAGCACGGAAAACAGGATCGACGGAAAAAACAAACCAAAGGAAAAAAAATATACATCATCTGATAAAGCTTCGTTTTCTGAGCACAACGATATTTTTATCGATCCCGTTGACATTCATCTCGATTTTTAAATCAAGATTTAAATTTTTGATCGTTCACACTAAATCTATTCGTTGACAGCTTGCTCCCATACAAAGCCCCACCAAGGGACGCTAAGATGAAGATTTTTGCTAATGTAATCGTACTTATTTAAAATAGTTCCAGTGTACCAAAATTGATGAAATTTTGGATTTCGGTTCTATTTTTAATGCATATAACGAATATGTATTTCAGTTGTCCCACAGCTGTCTACAGGAGCAGTCGATTTTTTATTTCGTTGTGAACCACACGATAGCCTGTTTTCGAGACTTGCTATTATATACCTAGTTGCTCTTTGTTCGTTGCTAGCAGTTCGGTGCCTTTTGTTGCTACGGTGCAAGATGTGTGAAGTAAAAAAAAAATTAAAGGGTTGTGTCCTAGACACGACCGCAGTATGACGTAGAACCACACAAAATTGATGTTTTTCATGCATTTTTGACTATTATACTTTATCTTAAAATTTTCAAGTATTTCAATGTTGTTGATGAGTGGGGGGAGGGGAAGAGGTTGTTGTGAAAGGGGGAGGGGGTTTACATAATTACTTTTCCTCATTGTGGTCACGCCGTGATCCACATTTAGCCGCTGATTTGGTCCTGCTTACTGCAGGACATGGGTTTTACATGCACGTTTTTTCAAGTCTCATTCCTCATTGTGGTGGACACGCCGTGATCCACGCCGTCCGAAGTGGTAATGAGCAGAGGCATGAGAGCAGCGCTGATTTATATCTTTTCAGGTTCAAGTGGTATTCGTTTATGATGACTGGGTTTGGGAAAAAGGCTTATTTCATGAAATCAATGATAAAATTATCATTTGTACATTTTCCATAGTTTAAATACAAAAAAAATTGGATTTTTTTTATTTCAACAGGTTTGTAATGTAATATCCTATCGATTGGCGTTTTTAAATTTAAATTTCATCTATAAATGACAAAGTTACAAGCGTTCAAAACCTAACACTCCTTCACCACACATATTTTTTGATTTGCACCCCAGTATAGTCGACAAAGACGTAGTTCTACGTCAAAACACCATCAAGTTTAGCTTCAGCCATTGTGATGCCAAACCAAACATCGAAGAGATAGTAAATTTCGCCAAAGCACTGGACGCGGATCCGGCTGAAACGGAAGCTGTTTATCGCATTGGTGAGGAAAGGGGAGTCTTCATGAAGTTCAAATCAGAGGAAGCGATGCTCCATGCTCTGACATTCAATTCGGAGGATTTAATCTTCCATTATGCGAATGGAACGACGGCAAAGGTACGCATGTCGCATGCTGGTGAATTCATTCAATATGTGCGTGTGTATGACTTGCCACCAGAGGTACCCGACAACGAGCTGGATAAAGTCCTGGGGAAATATGGGAAAATTAAACGCATCATTCGGGAGAAATTTCCAACTGATCTGTGTTTTGAGGTATATACAGGGATACGCGGTGTATATATGGATGTGAAGAAGGAAATCCCCACGCCATTACATTTCTTCAATCGCAAAGGAAATATTTTTTATGATGGCAACAAAGATAAATGTATCTGTCGGACACCGGAAGCACAGACAAACAGACCTAACTCTTTGAAAAAGTTTTTCTTGAAAACATAGTATCTCAAAACATAGGACCTCAGTAACAACATCTCTCGGGCTTCTCGCGGAAAACAAGCTTGCTCACTAACTCGCAAACAATATTGCATAAAAGTTCTATAGAATGTATAGAAACGTCAAAGTGATCCGATGCCAGCGCTGCCGCGAGTAGTTCGCGGAACTGATAATATTCAAATCAACCGTTAAATTCGTGAACGAAGATACACGATGAAGTGTTACGTCTGTTTGTCTGTGCCGGAAGCTTTCCTGTCCCAAGCGGAAGGCTCGGAAGGAACCGGAGAAGCAACTGAAGGAAAAAGGAAAGCAAAGTGAAAGAAAACAAAACAGCAGCAGTACGTATGCTGGTGTAGTGGTGGAAGGTGCGTCGTTTGTCATTAGCGATCAGGAAACGGACACGGGGTTGGAGATGTTGAATGAAGATAACGAAATGGACGTGACTACCCCGACGACCAACGAGAGTAGCGGAGAGCATGCAACGGGAAACGATGTTCAGAAACAGCAGCAGCAGCGATCACGATTCGGGTTCAATGAAAATGAGGAACAAATTCGGGAAAGAAAAAAATTACGTGCATGGGAGAAGATCGCTTTGTCATCGCTTCGATAGCCACCCAGAAAAATCATATGATAAAATATATTTGTATACATTTTTTTTTTTTTGTATTTTGAGTACTATAATTCGTATTCTACACTAATAGAACTCCACACATTTTTATTGGCGAATTTCCATGTAAAATTCCACATGATTTTCATGTGACCACACATAAACAGAATCCACATAAAAGCACATATGAAATTTATGAGTCAAATGAATACTATTTGTGGTTACACATGTCTTTTATGTGTACACATTAAGTATGTGTCCGACACATAGATATTATTTGTTGATCACATTGCAAAAATTCATGTGTGGGACACAAAAAACTATCTTTGAAATTTTATCAGTGTATGTTACTCGGCTCCGCTAAGTTATTTTTATAACATTTGAGCCTGCCAAATAAACGAAATGAAAAAAAAACGAATATGTATTTACCTCAATACCCCTAAACAACCCAATTATATGTTATAAACAAAACTTAGTAAACCCTTTCCTCGTAAAGCGTATGCCACCCACGCAAACAAATAGCATCATCGGGCAGGAAAGTTTTCCCCTACACGATAATGCCATTATTTGCGTGGTTGACCTTCGGTTTGTGAGGACAGGGCTTACAAAGTTTTGTTTACTAAAGCTGATAGGCCCTTTTCAATTATTGGTTGCGATTTGTTTCGATATTGTATTAAAAAGGATTATAATTTAATATTATTTTAATGAATGCATAAATTAATATAAAATAAATCAAAAATAAATTTAAAAATATAAAATTTATAAATATTTTAATATGTTTTGGCTCAGTGTAATCACGAGGTCCCTCATTAAATGAACCGCTATCTTGAAATAGTTTCGCATTAGTCACATTTTCATCATGACATGGAGGTAAAGTATTCGGTAAAATGAGGTAAAATGTTACGCGCGCTTTTATATTTACGATTCATATGAGTCCTTTATAAGTCCACCGAAGCACAAGTTTCGTACGCTGAAAATTATAATAAGTTTTAATTGAATTTGGTGTTTTGTAATTTGATTTTTTGTAATTTGTTGTTATATTGGCTACTACTATTCCTTGTGTAAAATATTCAAGTGAAATTCGTGGATTATTCGTATTTCAGCAGTTGTACGTGAGTTTTGTGTGGATTAAAACAACATGTCCAGCCCAGCACGATCAAGCCGAGGACGGCGGCAGGAGAATGGCTCCCAAAGTACTCCTTCCAAACAAAGTAAGAATAATGCATATTTTTAGAATCAGGATTTTGGGAAGCCGAGTGCATAATGCATTATATTGTTGTTTATTCATTTATAGCAACCTCTAATAATGAAACGGAAACACCTTTGCGGATGGGTAGTCGAACTCAAAATCCCAACGTCGTTGTTGAAAGCTCTGATAATGTGACTGTTCCTACTTCTCCAGCAGTAGGAGGATCGGGAACTGGAATGGCTCCACCTACAAGTCCATTTAATGCCGTAGGAGGTAGTACTGCAGTGGGATTGAGTGAGATCGATATCAGTTCTCCGCTTAACTATGGAACTCCAAGTTCAATGGGTTCAATCCGCACTCCAAGATCGGGTATCCGTGGAACTCCTATGAGACAGCGTCCTGATCTTCGCGCGGACAGACGTGTTCGTCAAGTGAATGTAGGATCTGATCAACTGGAACCGATTCCTGAGGGAAGTCAGCCATCGGAAGCCGATTCCGTTGGAGCTAGCCAACCGAAGATGGTCGTATGGGGTACCAATGTTGTAGTATCGGAATGTCTGAAAAAGTTCAAAGACTTCATTATGAGGTACATAGATCCTGATGCAGCTCAGGATGAAATATCCGAAGGCATGAATTTGAATGAACCGCTTTATATGCAGAAATTGGAGGAAATTCATACCTTGGAAGAACCATTCCTGAACGTCAACTGCGCTCATTTGAGGACTTTTGATGAAGCTCTGTATCGTCAACTTATTTGTTATCCTCAAGATGTGATTCCAACTTTTGACGTGGCCATCAATGAGATGTTCTTCGAGCGTTATCCGGCTGCTGTGCTGGAGCATCAGATTCAAGTTCGTCCATTCAATGCCGAGAAAACGCGAAGCATGCGAGCACTGAATCCAGAAGACATTGACCAATTGATTACCATTAGCGGAATGGTGATTCGTACATCGAACATTATGCCCGAGATGCGGGAAGCCTTTTTCAAATGTATTGTCTGTAACTTCAGTACTGTAGTCGAATTAGAAAGAGGAAGAATCGCTGAACCTACGCTCTGTTCGCACTGCAACACCAATCATTGTTTCCAGCTGATTCACAATCGCTCGCAATTTGCTGATCGGCAGATGATCAAGCTTCAAGAAGCACCAGATGACATGGCTGCTGGACAGACTCCTCACAATGTGCTGTTACTGGCCCATGATGATTTGGTGGATAAGGTTCAACCAGGAGATCGAGTTACGGTAACTGGTGTCTACAAAGCGATGCCCATTCAAGAGAATCCCCGCCAGCGTAACGTGAAATCAGTGTATAAAACGCATATCGACGTTGTCCACTTTCGTAAGGTGGATGATAAGCGACTTTACGAACAGGAAGAAGGTAAGGATCACATGTTCCCTCCGGAGCGAGTAGAGCTCCTGAAGAAGTTGTCTCAGAAGCCGGATGTTTACGATCGGCTAGTTCGTACAATTGCTCCCTCAATTTATGAGAATACTGACATCAAGAAGGGTATTCTGCTGCAATTGTTTGGAGGTTCGAAGAAAAAACAGGCCACCTCAGGTCGACAGAACTTCCGTGCAGAAATTCATATTTTACTCTGCGGCGATCCTGGTACTTCGAAGTCACAGCTTTTGCAGTATGTGTATCATTTGGTTCCGAGAGCACAATATACTTCCGGAAAGGGTTCTTCTGCAGTGGGTCTGACGGCATACGTAACCAAAGATCCCGAAACTAGGCAGCTTGTTCTGCAAACGTAAGTACCTACCTACAAATAAGTTATTTCAAATCGATTAGTACTAATAAAATAGTTATAATATAGCGGTGCATTGGTCCTGGCCGATAATGGCGTTTGCTGTATTGACGAGTTTGATAAGATGAATGATTCCACCAGAAGTGTACTTCACGAAGTGATGGAGCAGCAGACGCTAAGTATTGCTAAGGCTGGTATCATTTGTCAGCTGAATGCGCGTACTTCAATCTTGGCTGCAGCCAATCCGTCGGAATCACAGTGGAACAAGAATAAGACCATCATCGATAACGTACAGCTTCCCCACACGTTAATGTCGAGATTCGATTTGATTTTCTTGATTCTTGACCCACAAGATGAACAATTTGATCGCCGTCTCGCAGCTCATTTGGTTTCTCTTTACTACGCCAGCCGTGAAGATGACGAGGACAGTCTTTTCGTAAGTATATTTGTAAAGCAGACAAAAGACAGTTTTTTTCTAAATGTAAATTTTACGATAGGACATGAGCGTGCTGCGTGATTACATGGCCTATGCCAAGGACCACATAAATCCTGTACTGTCCGAGGAAGCACAGCAGCGTCTGATTCAGGCTTACGTTGATATGCGCAAGGTTGGTGCTGGTCGTGGTCAGATTTCGGCCTACCCGAGACAGTTGGAAAGTTTGATTCGCTTGTCCGAGTCTCATGCCAAAGTGCGGCTCAGTGAGACTGTCGATGTGGTGGATGTTGAAGAAGCATGGCGCTTGCATCAAGAGGCACTGAAACAATCTGCCACCGATCCACTTTCCGGAAAAATTGATGTGGGTATTTTGACAACTGGTTTGTCTAGTGCAGCGAGAAAGAAGCGAGCAGAGTTGGTGGCCAGCATCAAGGAGAATTTGAAATTAAAAGGCAAAATCTCCACACTGCCATATCTAAAATTGTTCGGTGAAATTAAAGAGGCATCTCAAGTGGTATGTTCTTATGGTGAACGTATTTTTTTCTCGATTAGCTTAGCATGTTTTAATTTTTCAGCTCGTTACAAAGGAACAGTTTGAAGACGCTCTCAAGGAATTACAAGATGAGGGTGTGATTGTCATTGTTGGTAATAACACCATCCGGATATGTTAACAAGGTTCATGTGGACTATGAGCGGATTTGCTAAATGGTACCTTTTCTTACTTGTAATAATTATTCGTGAGGTTAGTATTAAGTCGTTTTCATTAAACTTTCGATACAAAATATACTCCATATTGAATCACTATTGTAAACGGAGGATTCGCTTTGATGACATCCTTGATTTACATATTTTTAAAGCATGGCTGTGGAATAACTGGGACAGTTTGTTCGAATTATCGGTTTTTGACAGTTTCGGACCGTATAGGTACAGATACAAGGATTTATTTAAGTTATACAACATCTTACTACTTCAAAGGTTGATTGATCTTCTATGAAAGTGTACTTATTTTTATTTACATTGTTGCCGCTCACGCAAGCTTATTTTCAACATTCGGCTGGTCTTTCCTCAAGGGCTTCAAGTCATTTAGATACACAGAATGTCGTTCGAACAGTTCTACCAGTGGTTCATCCGGCTTGTTACATTCTCGATCATACTTGGCTCCCACCGCCCAGAGCGATTCCAAATCGTACTGCTCTCGGGCCGTTTCGGAGAAGATGTGCAGAGCAATGTTTCCCAGATCCAAAGCCATCCAATCGCGACTGTTTTCGCCTTCGATCTTTGGAATAATATCCATAGGGTTTCGTTTCATTTTGTAAATCTTACGCACAAATTCTGCCATGCCTCTCATATGTCGAAAACTCATTCCCGTCACGACGCAAATGTAATCAACGTACTTAACTTCTTTTGGCACGGAACAAACAAAAATGCTTTCAGCATTGTTCAGTCTCAACACCGTTACCAGGTCTTCTACTTCATAGACACCCGTTCTCCCTCCTAAAAATAGTAACATTTAGCATTATTGTACCGGAAAGAAAATTATATAACTAACGTTCTAGGTTGATTCCATTGAAGATGCTTGGCAGTGCTTTGCTATCTTCAGGTTCTTCGAAGTCCGTAATCGTCACCCCTTGCTGTTCGCGTTGAAGCTGAAGTTGCCGTTCTTCTTCCACATCCAGAATCACCGTCGCATCAGCGTCTCGAAATATTTGGTATTTGTTTGCAATCGAACCTGCTGAGGGAGCACGCTGTTCTTGCTTTTTTGCTGGCTGTTTTAGACTCAATGGATCAGGAGCACTGAATTCGTCATGGAATAGGCGTGTTAGGGATGGTCCATTAATTATGTCACGCAAATTTGGCCCATTTTCAACCCCCCCTCCCCCCTTTGTCACATTTTTTGTATGGACCTTAATTTTTTTTTGTATGGCTCGTCACAGTTTTCAAAACTCCCCCTCCCCCCTAAATGTGTGACATAATTAATGGAAGACCCCTTACGTGGCTTGTACATGTTCTACTGAGGCGCCCTAATGCTCTTTGGACGGTCAATGCCATTTTGGAATTTTAAGTAATGATATAAAATTCTTCAATAATGCAGCACAATGAAATGAGGATAAAAGAGAATTGAATGTAAATAAGAACTAATACGTAAACAATGTCTTGAAATGTCAGAAGAATAAAACATGGTCGTACTCACTCTAAAATTGTATTCACCATAAATTCCAACACGGCATGATAAAAGTACTCAAAATCAGGCTTTATTTGCACCTCGGTGTGAGCAAAGAGAAAAGTGTATCTGCTACACGCAGAGTTTATACCTCGGATTTTCATTAAATTGCGGAACAGAGACCGACCGACCGACATCATCCAAAAAACATTCCATTAATAAAACAGCAAAAAAGGTTATCTTCCATTTAATTCCACTTAATTAATTTGGTATCCATGACAGATACGCATTTCGACTACAATGAGGAAAATCCCAAAGGCTTGGTAGCCATCATAATAAGTAATGAAATTGGGTTGTTAGCGTAATGCTCAAATCTAGATAGGGCTGGAATTAGGGCGTAACAGCTTTTTTAAACAATTACTTTTCTTGATGATTTTTAGAAAGTCAAGCTCGCCCACGCAAATCAACATTCCCATCGGGTAGAGAAAGAGTTCCCTTATCCGATGGTTAAGTTGGTTTGCATGGGCGTGCCTTGAAATCCTAGAAATCATCGAGAGAAGTTATTGTTTACAAAAGCTGTTACGCCCTAATCCCAGCTCTATCTAGAAATAAAACAGCAAAAAAAGGTTATCTTCCATTTAATTCCACTTTAATTAATTTGGTATCCATGACAGATATGTGCAGTCTTCATCAGTGTCATTCATCAGTTGTCCCAGCCATAACACCCCATATACAGAAATTGAATTTTTTTTTATTTAAGTAATGCGTAAAAAATGAATGCTGTAAACGGGTGCCTTCCCTTAATTTTGGCTACAAAAATGTTTTATGAAATTATGGAATAATAAGATATTATGATAATATTTTACACAGCAACAAGAAAAGATTGTGAAGTTTGAGTTTGACACATAACACCTGCCAATTTTGCTACATGAGAGGCGCAATAATTTGTCATTTGTCTCAGAAAATCGATCATTGTGACTCTGTCAAAGCTAAATTTGCAGGTTTTATGTGTCAAACACAAATTTTACAATCTTTTCTTGTTGCTGTGTAAAATATTATCACATATACAAAATATCATCATAATATCTTATTATTCCATAATTTCATAAAACATTTTTTTAGTCAAAATTAATGGAAGACGCTGTAAATATAAAATTAAAATAAACAAATCTGCAGAGTGTAGTATCTATGAGAATCAATGTAAGAAAAAAAAAACAAATAGGAGAAATGACTCTAATGTTGGCCTATGGATCTAAGATTGGGCCCATCACTAAAAATCTGCTATTTATCAATTTTATGTAGATGAACGCGTCATTGGGACGATACTAACATAGAGGTAACTCTAAGACCACTGGGTCCCGAAGAAAATCATTATTATTTTTGGCTCACTCAGTACCAGAACAACGGTCCCAAGCAGTCCCAAGCTATTTCACTCACCCCTGCATGTTCTGCATGAATCCACACACCCCTGATTTTATCTGTCAAACTTTCACAGCGAATCAAAACAAACATAGTGTAGTAATAGAATTTCAACTAGAATAGGGTACGTTAATCGTTAGCTTGGGACCAATAGGCTACTAAAGTGGTGAGCCAATTTAAAATCGTTAGTTTCGTATTGATTGTTGGTAATAATTTGAATTTAAATACTTTAAGCGGTATTGAAAGTAATTAACAAATAATTAACGATAATTTATGTAATAACAAATAATTTAACTTTATTGAAAATAATTTAAATATGAAATTTTGTGAGTAATTAAATTATTTATTGCAATAAAGTGTGTATTTAAAGTATTTAATGCAGTAATGGCAAGATTTTAAATATTTGGTCAGCAGGCTGTGTAGAATTGAAAGACTACCCGAAAAAAAATAACAACAAAAATACATTAAAAAACAATGTAACAATAAGACGAAAATTATTGTCTTAACAATGATTTATATTGTTACGTCTACAATAAATTTACCTTGATTTATGTTGTACAAAACAATAAATTTCATGGTAAATGGAAAATTTACAATAAAAAAGGGGGGTTGTTAAGTATCTTAACAATGAAATTTTCGTGATTTTCCCATATAATTTTTTTTCAATAACATTATATATTATTGTTATTTTACTGTTGGTTGGCGAATTTATTGATTAAAAAAAATAACAGTGTACTTTAGAGTGTATGTGTTGGCTTGACAGATCTACTTTATCGACTTTAAAAATAAATCGAAAAAATAAAACATTGCCCCGGGAAGGGAAGGGGGTGGTATGTCTGTTACGGGTGGTCCTTTTTTTACTGGTTATGGATCGAGATTCGATCCGGAACTTGTGAGAAATGCAGGCCAACTCCCCTGCGCTCGATATCCCTTGGTTTCGTCTCCTTGGTGGTTGAGCGTCGTTGATAAGTTAATGCATTCGACTGGAGAGAATCGCCCATGAAATATGCTTCCACCTGAGAGTTACTTCCTGACATCTTCAAGTGGTGGAATTTTTTATTATTATTGTATGATTATTGACTGCACGGAAAAGGTCTCCATTAAGCTTTTGAGAGGGTCTAGGATAAGATATGAGCGGACGCGGACTGCCTGATTTTGAGCCAAACGAACTGTCAAAGCCAGAGCCATACGAGCAGCGCCTATCTTAATTACATTGGCAGTGTTGCTGACCCTCTCATAGTCTGCATGCTTCAATTAGATTTATTTTTATTGTTCGTGAAGTAACCCACAATGAAAATACACCAATATTTAATGTAACAACAATTTTTATTGTAATAGAGTTGTTAATTATTGTTCATGATCGAATCATGTTAACAATAAAATAAATGAAAAATACGATAAAAATCATTGTAACAACATTTTATTATGTACATTCATTGTACATCTAGGTAGCAGTTTTGCCGTTTTCGGAAGAGTACAACATTATAACAATCATTTTTATTGTCGACAATAAATATTAATGTTAGAGCATTGTTTCCACTGAAAATTTCACTGTAATTTTTTTTTCGGGTAGTGCGTGCCCCTCGTCACTGCGTGTTTATGATCATTTCTTCGATTATATTTTCTATTTTATTGCAATAGCTTTCGTGAACCTTTCATAACATCATAATGTTTGTTTACTTTGCACGATAGGTAGCCGGTTAGATAGTTCAATAGGTAGACTTGGCTTCTCTCTTTTTTCTTTTTTTTTTATACAGGTGGGAATCTGCTCACAGACACCTGAAAAGGAACTCAGGGTGTGGGGATGGCAGAACTTCACTCCAGACCCACTAAACCTTACCCTGTGCGCTTGGCCCTTGACCTCGCCCTTGGCCTCCCCGGAACCACCCGAAGACATTACTTCGTGGGAGGGGCCGCTGTAGCGCTATGGCGCTTCTCAAGCAATACTCTATCGATCTAGCCGGGCAGTAGGCAACTGCTGCTCGGCACGCCACTGTCGTTATAATTCCGAAACTATGTGGGTGACCGCAGTCACCACCGCGCTCCAGTTCTCGGTTGTACCACACATCCTAGGAACGATGTTATCCGGCCTGGTATCCGCTCCGCATATCGCTAGCATAGCGCTCGATACTGGCTCGAAGCGTGGACAGGCGAACACAACGTGTTCGGCGGTCTCCTCGACGCCAGCACACCTGGGGCAGATGGGGGTACTTGCATGTCCGAACCTATGCAAGTAGCTTCTAAAGCAGCCATGGCCTGACAGGAACTGTGTCAGGTGGAAATTTACTTCCCCGTGGCGCCTGTTGACCCAGCTTGATACGGAAGGTATCAAGCGGTAAGTCCACCTCCCATTTATGGAGTTTTCCCACTCCGATGGCCATCTCGGGGTCGACACAGCTCGCGCGTTGTTGCGCACCCCTCGAACGGACCTCACGTCATAGCACACCAAGTCCTCCTCAATGATAAGGCTGATTGGCATCATCCCTGCTATGACACAGACGGCCTCTCTCGAGATAGTGCGGTATGCACTGGCCACCCTCAAGCACATTAGCCTGTGTGTGCTCTCTAATTTCCGCCTGTGGCAGTCAATATCCAGTACCGCAGCCCACGCAGGGCCGCCGTATCTGAGGATAGATACTACGACCCCAGCGAGGAGCCTGCGCTTACTGGCATTCATTGCCGAGCTGTTTGACATCATGCGGGATAATGCCCCTACAGCCGTAGACGCTCTCTTGCAGGCGTACTCGACGTGGCAGCCGAAGCTGAGCTTATCATCGAGCATAACCCCCAAGAGTTTCAGAGAGCGCACAGACCTAATTGTGCTTCCGCCGCTGCTGTACTGACATGCGATTGTTGACTACGACCACTTCCGTCTTGTGATGGGCAAGCTCCAGTTTCCTGGATCTCATCCATTCCTGCACAAGCTAGACGCAGTGAGCCGCTGTCAGCTCTACCTCCTCGAGAGATTCCCCGTAGACTACCAGCGTGACATCGTCGGCAAAACCTACAATTTTCACGCCTACCGGGAATCTTATCCTCAACAGTCCATCGTACATGACGTTCCATAACACCGGGCCCAGGATGGAGCCTTGTGGCACTCCTGCGGTGACTCTAACGCATTTTTCGCCATCTTCTGTGTCGTACGTCAACACACGATTCTGGAAGTAGCTTTCCAGAATCTTGTACAGCCCTCCGGGAATTTGGAGCTGGTGTAGCGAGCGGCTATCGCCCCCCAGCACGCGCTGTTGAACGCGTTCTTCACATCTAAGGTTACCACCGCGCAGTAACGAATGCCCCTTCGTTTCCGGTGGACCACCTCTGCCGTCTGGATGACGTCGCGGATGGCATCCACCGTGGGTCTGCCCTTACGGAACCCGTACTGGCTGCTTGACAGGCCGTCTACACCTTCAGTGTATGCCGACAACCTGTTGAGGATGACCCTCCCGCATAAACGCGAACCATAAATTGACCTTACCTAAAATGGTTAAAAATTGTTTATAATCCCTGCTAAACTTTAACTGAAATGGTTATGGAACTTTACATGAATGTTTAATGATAAAGTTTCAACCTTATGTATTATGGTTTTTTGGAACTGGACCTTACAAATAATGGGTTGTTAAGAACCATTACCATTCCAAATTCTTGTTTTCTCCATACATTTTCAGAAAGAGAACTATATAAGAACGTTTTTACTTATGATTTGAGAACATTAATGGTTATGGTTATGGTAGCCAGTAAGGTCCATTAATGGTTTTGTATTATCGCTCAACTTTACGTGGAATATATCGTGAATTGGTAATCAGTAAATTAAAGGCAACCAATTCGCGATATATTCCACATAAAGTTGATCGATGTTACAAAACCATTCGTGGACCTTACTGACTACCATAACCATTCCCATTAAAGTTCTCAAACCATAAGTTAAAAGGTTCTAATATAGTTCTCTTTCCGAAAATGTATGGAGAAACAAGAATTTGGAACGGTAATGGTTCTTAACAACCCATTATTTGTAAGGTCCAGTTCAAAAAAACCATAATACATAAGGTTGAAACTTTATCATTAAACGTTCATGTAAAGTTCCATAATCATTTCAGTTAAAGTTTAGCAGGGATTATAAACAATTTTTAACCATTTTAGGTAAGGTCAATTTATGGTTCGCGTTTATGCGGGCTCTCAAGCAGTTTCCCAGTGGTGTCCAGCAAACAAATGGGTCTGTATGCTGACGGGTCCCCAGGGGGTTTTCCTGGCTTCGGGAGCAGCACCAGCCTCTGCCGCTTCCACGCATCTGGGAAGATGCCTATGTCCAGACAGGTCTGAAACACAGAACGGAACATGTCTGGGTTTTCCGCAACGGCCGCCCTCAGAGCCACAACCGGGATCCCATCTGGGCCCGGGGCCTTGCCCACCGCCAGCGACTTGACAATATCGCTAAGTTCTCTGTTCGTCACTCTAGACACTTCTCCCTGATCCGCGCCTGGGATCCGTGGTCAGGAGTCTACGTCCCTACGTGGAAACAAGAACCCAACGATCGGAGCCAGTACCGCCGGCGATCTCTCTGGGGGTGCCGCCACGCTGCGGGTCTTTGCCATGACCACTTTGTAGGCATCCCCCATGGGTTCGTGTTGGCGCTTTGGCATAAGCTGTCAAAGCACGCACGCTTGCGTCTGGCGATCTCTTTATTGAGGGCCGCCTTAGCCGCTCGAAGAGCAACGCGGTGTTCCTCTCGAGATTCGGTCGTACGAGCTCGTTGCATCCTCCTTCTCGCCTGGAGGCAAGATGCCCTAAGGATAGCAATCGACTCGCTCCACCAGTACACCGGTCTATGGCCATGCCTGGGAAAGGCTCTCCTAGGCATGGTTGTATCGCATGCCCTTGTTGGTTATTCGCTCCCGCATCAGTGCTTCGCCGAAGACCTCTTCCTCGAAGAACGACGTCCGCCAGTCTCGAGCGCAGGAAGGATTTCCTCCTGCCACTCGCCTCTCACCTGGCCCCACACTGTACCGAATCGCTTGATGGTCACTATGGGTGTAACCCTCATCGACCCTCCAGTGTAGGTTGCCCTCCAAACACCGGCTGCAGTATGTCACGTCGATGACGGATTCTGCACCATTCCTTCTGTAGGTACTGACCGAGCCGGTGTTGGATAGTACAACGTCCAGTTTGGCCATTGCCTCCCGTAGGATGCATCCTCTCTGGTTAGTGTGGTGGCTGCCCCACTCCTTCCTCGACTTGACACTGCTCCCTGAGCGCCGTGACTATCTCGGTCGCCTCCGTCACTTCGTCCAGGTCACTGACCTGAATGGTGATCGTCGAGCCTAGCGACTTCACCTACACCCCATTACCAACGACCTCCTTGCCAGTTTCTGGTAGGTTGGTCCCTGGTCTTTCGCGCCACGCTTGAGTACCAGGAGTATCTCGCCAGTACGAGTGCGCCTGATGCTCTGCACGTTGCTGCCCATCTCCGCAAGACGTTCGTCCGTTCTCATCTTCTTCAAGACTTCCGCGTATTTCGACGCTTACGTCTTAAAGATGAGAGCCTCGCCCTTCATCTTGTTCCTGTTCCGGGCAGAGCTGCTCTTGAGGGCAGTTTTGTCCGGGGGTTTCGGGGATTTCGGGGGAGCGCCCTTCTTACCGCCCTGATTACCACCCTGCTTGGAGCCGCTATTTTTCTCAACTGATTTTCCATTCACTATTTCAGCCCTCTTCTGCGGTTCGTCCACTGTTGCAGTGGACTGATGGGCCACCGCCACGCACTCCACCTGGGCAGAGACTTTCCGTCTCTTAGGGCGTGCCGCGCCCTTTACTGGCGAGGGTGAGGGCCGATCGCGCTTCTGTCCCTGCGTAACGGTAAAGTGGATCGATCGCGCTTCCTAAGCCGCTCGTGGTCGTCCTGGGCCTCGTTCACGGTTGCGCGGAGCTGTCGCAAGGCCTGCTTTAGGTCCTTCGCGATGTTGTTCCGCGTGCTCGTGAACTCAATGATGGCGTCGAGCTGTCCCGCGATTGCCAGCAACCTAGGGAGGGGCCAAAAGCTATTCATGGCTCTGATTAGCCCGGGCCAGTCATTCGGTTGCTCCTTCGGCTGTCCACCGATCTCGACCGTTGTCTCTGCGTCTCGCGGAGATTTAGACCACCCTTCGCGAATGGATTCGCGGTCGCCTCCTCGGCGACTTGTTCTCTGGGGGTTTGGGGTTTTGGGCTTGTTTGATGATGATCCATCATCCCAACTATTGGGTCCCCCTTAGACCGCTATCCTACCGTGCAACTGGAATAGTCGCTGATTGATCCCCATGGGTGCCTATGCGAGCAGTGAGGTCCATGACACGGGTTGACATAGGCCTTCATGGGGCGTTATGTTCAGAGCCGGATCGCGTAAGACGGGAATAACTCAACCGAACCTATTCCCACCGCAGTCTCCCAACTGGGTGGCACGGAAGGAACGTATTCTAAGGCCTGCCAGGGTTTTATGGGACGGAGACGGACAAGGCATTAGCTCAAACGTCGTTTCGGTCGGTTCCACCCGACTGTACTAAGAGGATGAAATACCTTGGCCGCCAGCCCGTAGCGTGGTTTATGAGAAGTTTCCGCTCTGTTTCCTACATACGGCCAGTGTGTCAGTAAACATACTTGCGATCTTACTGACATGGCGCGTCCCCTCGTTTGTTGTTCGATTAGCCGACTGGATCAGTACCGCAGCACTGGTGGTCCATCGTTTCCAGGGTGCACCACGAGGAGGCGAACAACTTCACACCCCTTCACTCTTCACTTTTGACTTCACTCTTGGCGTGACTCATTATACACCGACTTTAGTAAATACAATGTAAACAAATTCACTTAGATATATCATAACAAATAAGGTTTTTTTCTTCTTTTGGTTTGTTTTTCGTCGATCTTGTTTTCCGTGCTGAGCACCAATGCTGCCGACGCCAAGGAGGTAGCTCCCACACCTGGTCCCTACCTATCAACCCATTAACTCATGAACCGGGGACCAACGGCTTTACTTCCCTTCCGAAGGGAAGGAAGGCGTGATCAGAGATGTTATGCCTCAGAACATCCCGGCGGCGTCGACTAGGTCTGAACCCAGGCCTGGTGGGGTGATAGGTAATCACGCTTACCACTACACCACCGGCACCGCTTAAATGAAGGAATTAAAATAGTATGGCTGTTTTGTACATGGTATCAAAATCACGAAAACAGCAAAACTCGAAACCTGTAAGAACTGCTCAGAAGTAAAAATTCATAAAAATATAAAATTTGATCTCCAACCAAACTAAGTCATCGTAATCAGAGATTTGAATAAAAATAATCCAAGTCTGCCTCAGAACATCCCGGCGGCGCCGACTGGGATTGAACCCAGGTCTGCTGGGGTGAGAGGTAATCACGCTTACCACTACACCACCACTGAATGCAGGATAAGTTTTCTGTTTGATTCAACAGTATTTTTGCTGTATTATACCCCGTACAGAATATGGCTTATATAATGTAATGTAGACAAATATAATATAGACAAATTTACGCTTTAATCTTTGTTTTCAATAGCAGATACGTACCTTTGGAAAAGTAATCGAGGCTGTCGATAACGTCTGCAATGTAATACCCCGTTCACATTACAGTCTATATCACGTAATACACAGCAAAAGAAAATGTAATATCAATCAACGTAATTCAAGCTGATGTATGAAATAATGATGTAATAGCAAAAAGCAGATACAATATTACATCAATGGATGTAATTTTGTTCGCAAAATCGATGTACATCGTACAATGTGATATTACACAACCGATTGATTGACCTGGTTGCAGCAGTTTCGATGTAATATTCAACAACTTTTTTTGCTGTGTATAGGCTGTCTTGCAATGAGCACTCATACATAGGATTTCCAGTGAAAACTAGATGTAAGAGTGCTCATTGCAAGACACCGTATATCACGTTATATACGCTGTAATGTGAACGGGGTATAAATGTACCATTGCAAGATGGTTAACGTTCGGGTTGACGCTGACGTCATCGACGGTTACCGATTAACAACCCTGACTGAGACCATACAATGACGAGCAGGAAACATGATTTTCATCAATTTCTTGATAATGACCTATAGAGAAACCACTGTGCATTGGGGTTATTCAGCATGTTGATGCTGAAAAATAAATTAATCAATGAATTGACCCTCTAGCCACCGACAAAGACATGAAACTTAAGCTTAAAGGCCCAAGCGCAATGACAGCGGAAGCGAAACGGCAGCGGCAGCGGAAAAGCCCGATCTGAGTAAGCCTACTTGTCCGATTGAAAACTAGTTAGAACCAAATCGACATCGGTTAGGCTTCTTGATGTCATTTGTGACAACTGTAAAACTTTCCGTTTCCGTTCCGCTTCCGTCCACATTGCGTTTGGGCCTTAACTCTTGATCGAGAATCCATAACAGTATATTCCAATGTACAGCTATCCCATCTGTCAAAACCATAGAAATTTTCTATCTAAATAAAAATAATTAGCTCTAATTGCATGCGTGTTCGTGGCTAGGATACCTATTTTTCGCGAACACGGCCACAGATGTCAGTTTTGTGCTTTGATCAGAAATTTGATGGCATTCTGTATGGTCATTCGGGTCATTCATGTCGGTTTGTCGGTGCTCTAGCCTCATCTTACCGTACACTGTGCGAAATAAACTATCAATATTCAAAAGATTGCCTCGGGTATAGTTTAAACCCTGGTTTTCCTTATGAATCATAATATTGTTAAACAACATTTAAAAACACCGCAACCTGTATTCTAACTATGAACGTTGAGATCGATGAGCCCGTATCTAGACGACACGTCTATCTACTCTTGATAAAAGTAGAGGCTAAATGCATGTAAGCAGCTCTATGGTACGATGATAATTCAGCTTTATGAAATCCATTCGTCATAATGCAAAAAATATGAATTTCGATAGTTTATTTCGCTGAGTGTATCAATATTTGGAACATAAGCAAAATACGTACATTAATTTACAATAATTATTTGTTGTTTTCAACTTCCATAGTATTGAATTGAATTACCATATAGCCTTACAACCGGCCGCTAGGTTTTTTTTTGTGTTGACCTGTGCATCACGCGAGTATAGATCAGCTTATCATTCGTGATATTCTTCTTGCTTTTTGACACTGAAACACAATGGTTCTCTCTGCTTAAAAGATGCAACCAGTCAGCTAAGTGATGTCGCGTTAACGAATGTTGTTTTCGTAGTGCCTGACGAAGCTGTGATTGAAAGTTGAAGCTAAATTTCCTTCAAGTAAAATAATAATTTTGCGTGGAGTCAACAAGCTCTAGGTACGCCTTTTTGTATAATGCTCTTCTCTTATCAGGGGAGAGTGTACAAGAGATGATAAGAAGTATTAAAAATAAGGTTTTTTGAGCTAGTCTTCAATTGAAGCTGGCACTAATTTCCAATATCAGTCGGAGCTTAAGTCTGTTAATTCGCAGTCGGTAGTCGAGAGGTGCGGATCGGCAAGTCTTGCGAGACTGGTTTATGTGTTTTATTTTATTTTCTTTGGTGTTCGTTTGTATTTTTTTAAATAATTACTATGAGTTGTTTGTCGCGTTTTCGCTTAATCACTTTCGATGTTCATAACACGTTACTGCAAATCCGATCTGCACCGGGTAAAAAGTATGGAGAACTTGGTGCTATGTTCGGCATTAGTAACAACAAGAATCAGCTGGTGGCCAATTATGTGCAAAGTTGGTAAGTGTGATAATGGAACTAAATATGCAACAGATGATAAGCTTGCGATTCGGCATATGCGCCTAGCGATAGGCTCGTCAGGAAAATTGATTAAACAGAAGAAAAAAATCTTATCTATCGTATAGGCAGAAAATGAACCGGTTACATCCGAACTTTGGACTGAAGACTAAAATCGGATACAAGCAATGGTGGCAGATGATGATCGGAGGTAAGAGTTCTTTACTTGTACGTAATGCATCCACGAACGAGATTTGCCTTGTATATGGAATGCTTTTCAATGGTGATAACCGAATACATAATATTGCTGTATATTGTAGTATCTGTATGCATGTAGTGTATGTGAATATTTTGGTGTTTATGCTTCACCTCGCATACGAGTAGGTTCAAGGTTAACTCGTATATATGATGAACTGACTCCTGGTATGCCGCCTATGAGTTGCAAACTGGTTTGGTGACTTAATTTACTAGAACTTGTGTATCTTATGTTGTCTCTCCCAAATGTTTGAATTGTCACGACTATGAAGAGCTTTCCGATATCTCTTATGCTTGTATCGATATGCACATTATACTTGTTATACTTGTATTTGATATGCACGTTATACTTGTAGAGATGTGATCATACAAGCATTTAGGGTGGTAAAGAATATTTAGAATATACTTAAAAAAATTATCAAAGTTACCTCGTTTTACGGTACTAAAATCTGAATCGCTTATCACCTTACGATGGTGTAGGTAATAGCGTAATAGGACTCGTCTACCAAAATTATTTCAGCCTAATTTAAATTAATAACCATAAATAACTTAGTACACCATGTCGAGGCAGTGCAGTACCTAGCCGGGGTTTTTTTTACGTCGTTTCACTCATTCGCAATTTACACGGTACGTTTTAAACCATTTATCGAAAATGATACAACTTATCGAATTAATTCCTATAACATTATTAGTTTTGAGTCATAGGTAATCAAATGTCATACTTAAAAAAAATCTAAATTTTTGGTGCACGTACATAATTTTTTAAATTGTATATCTGGACCGTAGCATGCTAATATTAGTACTGGCATCAAAATGTAAACGTTTAACTATATTTAAGCATGGGACAATTCAAAATCTGGGTAGGTGTTTTTAAACGTTTTTTTACACGTTACATAACCACCGTTTAAAAAGAAGACCTGAGCATACTTCCAACATAGTGGGGTTTATTAATAGACGAATTTCACGCTAACTCGACAAAGGAATTGACAGCACCCTCTTAGATTTCAATGAAACTTTGTGGGTGTGTAGATTCCGTCTACTTAAGCAACTTTGCATACTTATTTTTTTTTAAACGCTAGACCAGCATTTAAAAAGGGCGGAACTTTATTTTTTATTAATACTTTTTCCAAAATATTATAACTCAATAATGTCAAGTCCTACAAAAATGTTGCCAAAAAATGATTTGTAGATAAATAAAAGCTCATTTATTTATATAAATTACCAAAACATTATTTTTTTTTGATACACTGAAGAAAAAAATGTTTAAAATTTAGATTTATCAAAAATACATTTTTTTTTAAATCGGAAATTTTTTCTACAGATAGGCATACCATTTATCTATAACTCGTTCATATATCTCAAGATGGGCACTTTTAAAGAAAAAAAGGTATTTTACAAAAACTTTTTTGTGCTCGCACTGAATAAAATCAATGATTTTTTTTAGTGTAGACATGAAACATATTGAAATGTTGAGACTCATGTGAAACCTACAACTCAACCGGATTTCACTCAACAAGCTCCAAATGAAAGGTACACCAAAAATATATTAAAGACGTATTCAATCTTAATGTGAATGATATAGAAAATTTAATTTTAATATTATGTTTAATTGGCAGAGTATGAAAAAAATGGTGTTCTTTTTTCATAAATTTTTATTTTATCTTATTCAGAGAATAACTTATATATTATTTCTTAACATTGTAAAATAAAGTAAATTTTTTTGGATGCTCCGTTGAATAGAATATTTTTTTAGCTGCAATTTGATTATCGGCAATAGGCTGAAAACTGTGTAATTTTTGTGAAAATATCTTCTTTACGTGGTGAAACAAATCTTCTAGTTCTTCTGACATTTTTTTCGTATTGCTCAGTAGATATATAACGGAAATTCAATTTTGTGATACTTTTCTCTGTTTGTTTAACTACTTAGTCGTAGAGCTCTCGTGGGGTTGTAATAGTATTTCCGTATTCTTGTGTAAGGCTTGCTCTTTTTGCCATTCATTTTAAAGTTCCACCAAAAGCATCACAGGGATCTTTGCCATGAGATGTTGCAAAGAAATGCCAATCTGCTTTCAATTTGTGCATTGATTTGAAGTTACATAGACTGGCAATTTTTTTTTCTGTTTTTATAATGAGCAGCTGCTCCATCTAACATAAATGTAATTTTGGAGAAATCTATTGATAGTTTCAAGAATTCTATCAGTTTTTAAATGAACAATTGAACTGATATTGTATCATGGGCCAATACCTCTGATATTATTATAACACTAACGTTTTCTATTTTTGTCGCCGCCAAAAGCTACTTTCTTCTCCGGTTAGGGAGAGTCTTTCGCTTACTAGGTCAGACACTGTTTCTCGATTCTAGGAGCTACTTTTTTCTCCGGTTAAGGAGAGAAGTTTTCACTTCTAGGCCGAAAGTTCTTTCGGATTCAAAAAAGAGAAGAATCTGGAGTAACCTATGAAACTTCATTTTATTCAACAAAATTGTACAAGTGATCTTACAGCTACGTGTTGCATTAGCAACTTATAATTATGTAAAACTTTTACTTGGTTCGTCCAGGGTTTTACATATCCCTTTCAATACCGGACTTTTGACCTAATTTTGCCTATTCTATTAGCTAGGATTTCGATCGCCCTTGAAAGGGTAAATTTGTGTTATTTGGATCTTATATACTATGCCCTCTCAGATCTGGGATTTCTCGGGTTATCTTGCAAGTTTATTTCTTTTTGTAACTCAGATCTGATATGGCTCTACAAATAAGAATGAGACATTTGTAACGTTTAAACATTATAATTATATCCTTCGTTAAGGATAAACAGAGAGGGAAAGCTAAACGTAACCTAGATGCGCAAGCATGCCATGCGTGGGCGTGTTTATTCTACTTGAACGCAGAAACGTTCCTAAGTAAATACTGCAGTTAGATTATGTAAAACGAGCTCTCGCTCCTTTTGCCCTACTTTTCATTTCATATTCTTGGCCTTGGTATCAACGTCAGCTAGGGCTATGCAAACGGGATGCAACTGTGAGTATCTAATGATTTTGGTTTGAAATTAATTGCCTCGCGGTAACATTCCGGAGCCCGTAAATCCTTCTAGGTTTACTTATATATGATCGTTATTCCGCGAGTGTTTCGTCATTTACTTTGTGTATCATTCCCACAAAGCAATCTTTTTTAATGATAGTTTCAACATCTTGGTGTTCCAACACCCGTTTTGATGCTACTTGTTCTTTTTTATTGTCTTCATTTGAAGAAGCTTCTCCTGGCGGCTCAACATCCATAATAGCCAATTTAACTACTGGTCGAGTGTATTCTCCAGAGGCTGTTTTCACAACAGCCGATCTTACCTGACCATCCTTGCCTACATGTGTTTTCAAAACAATTCCCTTTTTCCACTTTGCCTTTTGATCATCTTCAGCAATCATAACGATGTCTCCTTCCTTGACATTTTTCACAGCTTCCGACCATTTTGATCTTTTGGCTAATGAAGGAAGGTATTCGTGTAACCACCTATCCCAGTAAGTTTTAGCCATAGACTGCACTTTCTTCCATTGTTGTCTAGTGGCCTCTGCCTTCGACACATCATTCAATGATGGTTCGGCACCGCCGGCACAACCAATTAGGAAGTGGTTTGGAGTGAGTGGTTCGTCATCCGAGGCATCTAAAGATATTTTCGTCAAAGGTCTACTATTTATTATATTTTCGATTTCTGTTAATAACGCACGGAATGTGTGTTCTGGCATAGTTTGATTTGGTAAAAGACTTTTAACTTCTTGAACCAACCTTTCCCATGCTCCACCAAAGTGTGGAGATGATGGAGGGTTGAAATGCCATTCAATTCCTCTTGACGCAAGTCTGTGCTGAATCTTTTTTAGTTCATTGTCAGCTCCTACAAAATTAGTACCGTTGTCGCTATAAAGGAATTTTATTCTGCCTCGTCTGTTCTGCACTGAGTTCAAGCATAATAAAAATGCATCTGCAGACAGATCATGGGCTATTTCAAGATATACTGCCCTTGTTGTCATACATGTAAACAATGCTCCCCATCGTTTTTCTGTTCTCCGTCCGATGGACACATTGTACGGCCCAAAGTAATCTACTCCGGTATGGGTGAATGGTTTCACGAACGGTTGCAATCGACACTCAGGTAGAGGTGCCATTTTAGGGGTATTTATCTTCGCATTTTCATTTTTACAATGTTGACATTTTTTTATTGTCCTCTTCATTCCAGCATCTATTTGGATAACATGATATTTTTGTTGCACTGCTGCTATCGTAGCCTTCATTTTTTTATGTTTAAACTGTTCATGTTGATTTTTCAATATTAAATCAACTACATGATGCTTTGCTGGAAGTATGTAAGGATATCGAGCCGCATAAGGAACGCACTCTGCATCCTTATATCGTGTTTCTGATTTTATTGTACCATTTTGATCTAGGAATGGTGTTAGCGTTCGTATTTTGCTAGATTTGTCAACCGTCTGTTTAACATTGAGTTCCGTTAACTCATCTGGAAATGCATCCCATTGAGTTTTCAGAATCAGCAAAATTTCTGCCCTTTCCATATCAACAGCACTGATGGTCTTATCGAATCTCGATTCTTTGTTTGTTTTAGACCTAAGCCACTCTATATATTTTATTGTAATGCATACAGACCTCTTTAAACGGTCCCAATCCGAACACCATTTAACGTTCAGCCAATCTAAATTTGGTTTGCTTATGCTCTTTATCGAATGTACGGGACGTAATTCTTCATGACTTAAGTCTGAACTATGATTGTCCCCATTCACGGATGGCCAATGTTTCTCGTCCAGCTTCAAAAACGCGGGTCCTTCAATCCAAGACGATTTCGATTGCCTTACTTTAGTTCCTTCATCAGCCGGGTTTGCTGCTGAACTAATATATTTCCATTGTGATTCAACGGTGCTTTCGAGGATTTCACTAACACGGTATTGAACGA